AGATTAAAAGAAGAAAACTAAGCAACTTACAAGAAAGCTCGGCAAGGCTTCAAAAATTTGTGAAAGAGGCAAATTCAAGCAAGATGAAGCTGCAACATTGAAGGAGGAGCTGATATGCTAAAGGAGATGCTTTAGCAGCAACAAAAAATCAAAACCAAAGCATAAAGAATTGCACAAATGTCAGATTCCAAATGCTTGGTTAATGTCATGTTATCCTCAGCTTTAACACCAAGGATGAGTGTTGGAGTTGTGGTGTCAAAGCTACACAAGAGGTAGCATATGGAAAGAAGGCTGCACAGGTGGCAGCAAATGGAAAGAAAGCTACACAAGTAGCAGCAAATGGAAAGAAGGCTGCACAGGTGGCAGCAAATGGAAAGAGAGCTACACAAGTAGCAGCAAAATGAAAAGAAGGGAGAGTTGTACCAAAGCACGATAGCAGCAAAGTGTAGCAACCTATGTTGCAAAATGTTGATGAAATGTTGGTGAAATGAGGCTGAAATGTAATGCAAATGAAAGCAAATGGAAGGCTGCAAAGTAGCAGCAAGAACAACCACATGGAGCCACACAAATGGAAGTAAGACTTTTAATATAATCTTTCATTAAATGTTTTGTAGATTTTTCTCTTAATGGATAAGTATTAGGCACCGTTTATGTATTGAATTTTCTGCTATATAATAGCAGAACAATGAATGAAAAAAATGGAGTTCTCACTTCACCTTAAGAGGGAACTCCACCGGTGCTTCTCCCCTTCTCCTCCAAGTCCCAAAAAATCCAATAGTGTTTGAAATAGTTCATATAACATGGAAATTATCAGGCTCCTAATTCATTATTTCTCTCTCCAGATGGGATATAGTTTATGGGAACAGCTAATAACATTTTGTTGGTTCAAGCAGAAGAAGTTTGATTCACCTAAAATAATGTTTTAAATTAAAGTCTATTAATGAAAAGACAGGCATTAAGAGAGCTTCCTTTATGGGGTCCAATTCAACTTGACTCCGAATTAATTAGACAATAATGTGACTTCCGACATAGGGGATTTAGTAAAAAAAAAAAAGAAGGAAAAAAAACATAGTATCTACTTAGCCATCGGAAAGATGGAGTAGGAAAATTGTAGAATTTCTGGCAATTTTTATTTTAATTGAGTTCTGCAGTTTTTTCATGGGACTGGTATAAATCTGAATCTTTGACCGATAACAGGATTCATAAATTTTGTTTCATTTGCCACTTTATTAAGAATTCCCTTTCTCTACTTTTTCTATATAGAACTATTCTTAAATTAAACCTGGTTGCATATCATTTCATTTCATATAAAACAATAAAATATTTGATACTTATAAGTGCATACTTTTGATAACGTTTGTTGTGTCTACTTGTTGGATCACCTTGCTGTTGCTGATAGCAGAAAGAATTAGAAGAAATTGATTGTATTCTTCCTTGAATCATTCTGTAAAATGATTTGATGTATATATATTTACATGTAAATGTTTAGATCCTAAATTAGTGCCTAGTATTGAGCAATACTACCGTTGCTCTACATTTTGACCGTTGCAGCTATTGCTCCTTGGATCAGTCTTTGATTGCTTTGATATGGTTTCCTGCTTGGACGTGATTTCCTT